GAGAAACTGGGAGGAAGTGATCAGGATTTGAAGTGAATAAACAATGAATGAATCCACAGGAAGGATGTTAGCACTCTGAGTGACTTTTTTTTTTTTTTTTTTTTTTTTTAATTCATGGCTCTTGTTAAAGTCCTACAAATGGCAATACATTATAGTGGGATCCTCCAGACGTTAAATAATGGCACAGAGACTTAACGATTTTTTATTATAGCTTAGGCCTCTAGCTGGAGAGACTCTACGCTAGAGCAATCTAACTTACCCAACTATTCTAGACCATGACTCAGCACATGCCTGCTTCTTCACCTCTCTGCGCATGTTCAGGTCTGTCCACCTCCAGGCCCAGCGGTCAAATCCCCCGTTCCTCACTTCTCCTCACAGAGACCCCCTCTCAGTCTGGAAGTTCCACCTTCCCTTTCCTGCTTAGTTATTGGCTGATGGCTCTTTATTAAGCCAATCAACAAGTGAGGAAGGTGAATGTTTACAGAACAGGAGGCAGGTGGCGATCCCAAATCCCGCCAGTGCTCAGCTTTCTGCTGGGACAGCAGTCACCAGTTGGCCGGCCAGTGCACACCAACAGCAGCTCCTACTTACGATCCTCATTTGAGTGTCTGATTACTGCTGGATGGCTGGATCACAACAGTAATTTCTGAGGTAGCTCTGCTTCTCAAATCTTGGTTTCCCTGATGTAATTACTAGGCTGATTCCTCAAAAACAAAACTATAAAACTCCCCAGCAATGGAGGGTCACACAACACGATTAAATCTGCACCACAAATTCCCTTGTAATATCAGTGTAGTTTCCTTACATTATCTCTGCTTTATCCAGCCTTAAAGCCATTAAAATATAAAAGATGATTCAAATGTTAAAAATATATTGAAACCAACCAACGAAACAAACAAATAAGCAAACAAAAAACATTTAAAACTCTTGCTAAAACAAAGAATGTCAGGTCGTAAATTTGAATGACCATCAATCCTGTCATTTAATACATTTGGTGATGTAACGAGTTTACCATTTATTCAAATCACTCTTTGTTCTTTTCCCAGAATGATTTCACACAAATTCCCCATGCATTTAAAATCAGCAAGAAGAGTGCCAGTCATTTGCCTGCAAATTTCATGATTTTCCTGTTTTTAATGGCTAAGTAGTATTCCATTGTGTAAATGTACAACAATTTCTATATTCATTCTTTGGTTGAGGGACATCTGGGTTGTTTCCAGATTCTGGCTATTATAAATAAAGCTGCTGTGAACATGGTTGAGTAAATGTCCTTGTTGTGTGGTTGAGCGTTTTTCGGATATATGCCTAGGAGTGGTATAGTTGGGTCTTGAGGTAGCACTGTTCCTAATTTTCTGAGAAAGCACCAGATTGATTTCCAAAGTAGTTGTTCAAGTTTACGTTCCCACCAGCAAAGCAGGTTCCCCTTTCTCCACAACCTCTCCAGCATGTGTCATCCCTTGAATTTTTGATCTTAGCCATTCTTATGGGTATAAGGTGAAATCTCAGGGTCATTTTGATTCACATTTCCTGGATGACTAAGGACATTCAGCATTTCTTTTAGTGTTTCTCTGTCATTCGATATTCCTCCGTTGAATTCTCTGTTTAGCTCTGTACCTCATTTTTTAAATTGGATTACTTGGTTTGCTGCTGTTTAACTTCTTGAGTTCTTTATATATTCTGGATATTAGCCATCTGTTAGATGTAGGGTTAGTGAAGATCCTTTCCCAATCTGTAGGCTGTCGTTTGTTCTGTTGACAGTGTCCTTTGTTTTACAGAAGCTTGTCAGTTTCATGAGGTCCAATTCATTGATTGTTGATCTTAGAGCCTGTTGGTGTTCTGTTCAGGAAGCTGTCTCCTGTGCCAGTGAGGTCAAGGCTCTTCCCCAGAAGAAAAAATGGAACTAGAAAAGATCATCCTGAGTGAGGTAACCCAGAAGCAGAAAGACATATAGTATATATTCATTTGTAAGTGGATATTAGCCAAATAATATAGGATAAACATGCTAAAATCTATAGTCTGTAAAAAGGTAAACAACAAGGAGAACACTAGAGAAGAGGCTCAATCTTTATTCAGAAGGGCAAACAGGATAGATATCAGAAGATGGAGAAAACAGGGAACAGGACAGGAACTTTCCACAGAGGGCCTCTGAAAGACTCTACCCAGAAGGGTATTGAAGTAGATGCTGAGACTCATAGCCAAACTTTGGGCAGAGTGCAGGGAATCTTATGAAAGTTGGGGGTGGGAGGTAGAAAGACCTGGAGAGGACAGGAGCGCCACAAGGAGAGCAACAGAGCCAAAAAATCTGGGCCCAGGGGGTCCTGCAGAGACTGGTGAATCAACCAAGGGCTATACATGGAGAGGACCTAGATCTCTTGCTCCCCATGGGCAGCTAAGTCTCCATGTGGGTTCCCTAGTAAGGGGAGCAGGGGTAGTCACTGACATGAACTTGATTGCCTGCTCTTTGATTACCACCCCCTGGTGAGATCGCCTAACACCACAGAGAAAGGAGGATCCAGACAGTCATGATGAAACCTGATAGGATAGGGTCAGATAGTAGGGGAGGAGGACTTCCCCTATCAGTGGACTTGGGGAGGGATGTAAAGGGGGAAAGACGGAGGGAGGGTGGGACTGGGAGGAGATAAGGGAGGGGGCTTCAGTTGGGATACTAACTGAATAAATTGTAAGAAATAATAATAATAAATAAATTAAAAAATGGAACATTATACTAGTGTTGGTATAATGTTCTTATGGAATGCATACAATTTACCTTTGTTCATTCACATGCTGATTTCTCTACCCCACTATCTGGTTTCAATGAGGACATTGCATTGTGATGCTTTTTCTTTTTCTTTTTCTTTTTCTTTTTTTTACAATTGCTTTTTTTTATGTACAGATAGTGATTGTGTGTGATTAACCAAAATAGATATGAAATATACAATCTTTTTTTTTATTTTTTTCTATCAGTTACATTTTATTAACTCTGTACCCCAGCCGTGTCCCGATCCCTCATTCCCTCCCAGTTCCTCCCTCCCTCCTCTCCACCGTGCCCCTTGCCAAGTCCACTGATAGGGGGAACCTCCTCCCCATTCATCTGATCCTGTTTTATCAGGTATCTTCAGGACTGGCTGCAAAGCTCTCCTCTGTGGCCTAACAGGACTGCTCCTCCCTTGGGGGGTGGGGAGGCCAAAGAGCCAGTCATTGAGTTCCTGTTAGAAACAGTCCTTGTTCCCCTCACTATGGGAAACCAATTGGTTACTGAGCTACCACAGGCTACATCTGAGCAGAGGTTCTAGGTTACATTCATACATGGTCCTTGGTTACATGTCAGTCTCAGAAAAGACCCTGTGCCCAGATATCTTTGGTCCTTGTGGAGCTCCTATCCTTTCCTCATCAGACTAACTCCCCTTCTTTCTTATGATTCCCTGTACTCTGCCAAAGGTTTGGTCATGAGTCTTTGCTTTGAAAACACTGCTAGTTAGAGTCTTTCCAATGCGCTCAGTAGACTCCTGTCATACGTTCAATGCACATCCCATCTGTCATTCTAAACGAGGATTGATCATCTTACCCCATGTCTACTCTCTTGATTATCTTTTTTAGGTGTACAGATTTCATTATGTTTATTATATCTTATAGGTCTATATAAGTGAGTATATACCGTGTTTGTATTTCTCCTTCCGGGATATTTCACTCAGGATGATCTTTTCTAGGTCCCACCATTTGCCTGCAAATTTCATGATTTCCTCCTTTTTGATTGCTGAGTAGTATTCCATTGTGTAAAAATACCACAATTTCTGTATCCATTCCTCCGTTGATGGACATCTGGGTTGTTTCCAGGTTCTGGCTATTACAAATAATGCTGCTATAAACATGGTTGAGCAAATATCCCTTTTGTGTACTTGAGCAAACTTTGGGTATATACCTAGCAGTGGTATAGCTGGATCTTGAGGAAGCACTATTCATAATTGTCTTAGAAAGCGCCAGATAGATTTCCAGAGTGGTTGTACCAGTTTACATTCCCACCAGCAGTGGAGGAGGGTTCCCCTTTCTCCACAACCTCTCCAGCATGTGTTGTCCCTTGAGTTTTTCATTTTGGCCATTCTGATGGGTGTAAGGTGATATCTCAGGGTCGTTTTGATTTGCATTTCCCTGATGGCTAATGAGGATGAGCATTTCTTTAAGTGTTTCTCTGCCATTCGATATTCCTCTACAGAGAATTCTCTGTTTAGCTCTGTTCCCCATTTTTTAATTGGATTACTTGGTTTGCTGCTTTTCAGCTTCTTTAGTTCTTTGTATATACTCGATATTAGTCCTCTGTCAGATAAAGGGTTAGTGAAGATTCTTTCCCAATCTGTAGGCAGGTGTTTTGTTTTGATGACAGTGTCCTTTGCTTTACAGAAGCTGTTCAGTTTCATGAAGTCCCATTTATTGATTGTTGCTCTTAGAGCCTGTGCTGTTGGTGTTCTGTTCAGGAAGTTGTCTCCTGTGCCAAGGAGTTCTAGGCTGTTCCCCACTTTTTCTTCTAACAGATTTAGAGTATCTGGTTTTATATTGAGGTCTTTGATCCACTTGGACTTTAGTTTTGTGCAAGGTGATAAATAGAGATCTATTTTCATTTTTCTGCATGTGGACATCCAGTTGGACCAGCACCATTTGTTGAAGATGCTGTCTTTTTTCCATTGAATGGTTTTGGCTTCTTTGTCAAATATCGAGTATTCATAGGTGTGTGGGTTTATTTCTGGATCTTCTATGCGGTTCCATTGATCCTCCTTTCTGTTTTTATGCCAATACCATGCAGATTTTATTACTTTTGCTTTGTAGTACAACTTGAGACAGGTGATGCTTAGAAAAAGGTGATGCTTTTTCTAAGCATCACCTGTCTCAAGTTTGTGTAAACATGCCACCATTTGTTCTCCATATTGTTAATAAAACAACCAGACAGTGCTGAGCAGTGGAGAGAATAAGGTGGGACATCCTGTTCCAGAGGGGAGGAGAAAGAAGCAAGTGGGAGGGAGTCAGGAAGAGAGATGGGGGAGGAGAGGACTTGGAACTAACAGGAGAGATGAACTGGACCTAAGACATGACTAAAAGCAAGTATAATTTGGGACATCTTAATGGGAGGAAGTTATGTGGGCTTGGAGGTTTAGGATGGACTAACCATTGCCCAGCACCATGTTCTAGGTGAACTAAATACATCCTAGTCTCTGTGTGGTGATTTCTAAACTGCTAGTTTAGGAATAACCTCTGTTTAACTAAAAGATAAATCAATAATAAAGAATAATAATAATAATCAACATACCAGTGAGAAAAAAAATCAGCAAAGATAAACGGATCGCTGTGGTGTTCAGAGTAGAGGCCAGTCTTACCACCCTGCTGAAGGAGGCTAATCTCTCTGGTGGGTGCCTTTCAGCTTCTTTGGTGCTAGCACCTCCTGCATGATGCTTTGTGCTAACACATTTTAAAAATTAAAACAGCCCATGTGTCACAAGGGTTGATCCCTTCAGTGAGACTTTTTATTAAGTCTCTTCTGGTGGATACAGACAGCTGTCTGTTGCTGCGTGTTTTTAATGTGTTTGGGGCGACCCTGGGTGGGTCCACTATCCTGAACTATAATTATACCTTTATTTCTTTTATAGCCTACAGAAGATGACAGCCATTAGCACTGTCTTAGCAAGGCTGTTAACAAGAGTTTAATGTTTGCTGTATGTTTTTTTTGTTGGTTTTTTTTAGTTTTGTATGTCCACCTGACACAAGCTTAAGTCTCCTTTCAAGAGGCACCCTCTATTGAGAAAATGCCTCCATCAGATTGGCCTGTATACATGCCGGGGGAGCATTTTCTTGATTCAATGTTTGCTGTGGGGGGACCCTGCCCTGTTTGGGTGGTGCCACCCCTGGGCAGGTGGTCTTGAGTGGCAAAAAAAAAAAAAAAAAAAAAAAAAAGCAAACTGAGCAAGTTATGAGGAGGAAGCCGGTAAGCAGCACCCCTCCATGGTCTTTTCAGGTTCCTTCCTTGGGTTTCTACCTTGGCTTCCCTTCATAGTAGACTGTAAAGTG